TCTGATGAGTATACCCCAAAATAAAGTACTGAGAAGGTGACTGCTTAAAACCCGCACAAGCAAAATGTAGACCACCTGTAAACGAGAAAGGCATCTACTTAAGGCAACAAACCAAGAAGGTATATATAAAGGAGGAAAAAGATTTAATTACACAAAATGAAAAATCTATAAATAAACGAAAAACTCAGAAATGCCTGGCAACTTTACTAAATAAAATGTCAATGCCCCATCAACAAATTAGAAGGAAAAATAGGTTGGAAAACCAGCTAAGATTGGTGAAATAGTTGCATGGTATGCATGAGAGCCTGGGTTAGAGCACCAGCTCGGCATAAATCTGGGGTGTGGTGGCACACATTTGTACTTCCATCTCGAGAGAGATGCAATGAAACCAGAAGCTCAGTCACCGTCTCCCAAAGAGTGAGCCATATGCCAAGTGGGGACACTGTGTAAGAACAGAGAGGGACCAATGGAAGGCAGAGGAGGGGAAAGAAGGAGAAAGACCACACAGGAAAATGTGTTACCAAACACCTAGTGATCCCAGCACTCAGGTGTCACAGTCTGGAGGATGGAGAGTTCAAGGCCAGCCTGGGTTACCAGTGAGTTTGAGGCCAGCCAACTGCCCAGACTATCAAGAAGGGGAGGAGAAGGGAAGGAGAGAAGCATGTCTCCCTCTGGGGAGAATTTTCTAAACAGCTGCTTCCTTCCGTTTCTTCTTCAGCCCTTCAGTGTGCACGAGCTTCTCGGGCCTCCTAACTCCTCCAGCTCCCTAGCACCAACAAGTCACTTATCTCAGTGTCTCCAAACTCAACATTTCTGAGGGTTCTTTTCTCTTTGGCCAAGCTATGGTCAGCTGCCCCATGGATCTGGCTCCCGCTCTACCATTCCCACCTCTTTCGTTTTTTACATACAAGCTATGACTATGTAGCCAAGGATGAATTTGACAAGTCTTTCCCAAGTCTCCTGCTTCTATCCCCTAAATACCAGGATTACAGGCAGGCACAACCACACTTGGTTTAATGTAGTGCATGGATCAAACCCAGGTCTTAGAACACCGGGCAAGAACTCCACCAGCTGAACAACATCCTCAGCTTCAATGCCGAAAAGTACACAGCTAAAATAATTTTGCAATACTCTTAAAAACAAGACCTGACGGGGCTTGTTCACTATAAGGGGAAAAATGCAAACAGCTCTGCATTCCAAATGTGCAGAGTCAATCCTGAGCTGTGGACATAACTCAGTAGGAGGGCGGCTACAAGAGCGGGTATGATCCCCTGCACTGCCAAAAACAGCTGGCGTGCACTGAGGAACAATGGCTTAAAACACGCTTTCTACGATTCCCGTACACATACAGTGTAAACAAATGAGCAGTCCAGGCGGTACCTGGTTAATTCTATCCCACAAGTACCTTTACATAAGGATCAGCACACAATGGCAGTCTATCACTAACCAAAAAAACCTGTTTCTCTTCCTCCAACAGCACTATGTAACAACTGAAAAGGGCCACCGACAAGGGTTTCCATGTTGGGGGAAAAAGGGTGCAGACCACAAGATAGGCACTCTTGGTTGGTCTCCAGTCAAACCAGATTGTCAGTGCTTTTAAAAACTAGAAAAATCTACTTTAAAAACTAGAAAAAAAAAAAACTCAAATTGCATGCTTCTTCTAAGAGGAAACACTTTCCCTCAAAATCAAGTTTAACAGACTAAGTACACTACATGCGTACTTGAAAGGAGAGGGTTATTCACCCACTGAAAACATTCGAAGGTTCAGCCTTCACTGGGAAGTAGCCCTGTTAGGAGGAATTTGGCCTTTCGAAAAGGCTAATGAAAAGACGGTTTTCTTCGGGGGTAGTTTTTGTTGCTGAGACAAAATCCTGTATAACCCAGGCTGGTCCCAAACGCAGTATGCAGCAAGGACAAGCTCACGCTTCTGCTCCTCCTACATCCACCTCTTAAGTGGTGGGGTCCCAATGTCCCACACAGCAGGTTTATGCAGCTGGGGAGGGACCCGATGGCCTCTCGCACACTAGGAAAGCACTGCACCAGCCGGGTAGTACATCCCAGCCCAAAAAACATTTTTGAAATGCAAACCCTCCTGTAGTTCCCAATATAAGGGAAGGGGAGTCCACTTTCTAATCATGTATGGGATTTGTTATCAACTCATTAACTATCCTTGCTAGTGATTCATTGTTGTCTCATCAATGTTAATAAGCAGCTGGCTGGAATAATAATCACCAGTTTAGATTATTGTTAATAAACATATAATCTTAATGGCTGACTCAGCGATCAGAGAAAGGTACAGTTTAGAGTACTGAGGTTGTCCTTAGAGGAGGGTTGGAGGAAAAGGCACTATTAGGACGTTTCTGTTGATTGCGAAGCACTAATGGCATGTAGTTACTTGTGTCTTTCTTTAGTAAAACTTCTTAAATTTTAAAAGATATTAGTTAGAATGTCTTCAAGGAATTTTAAACAGAAAAATCATATATGCATACTTTTGTGTTTTCTTTTTTAAATAATTGGAGCAATAAATAAGAAAATCCCTACAGAACACCTGTATTTCTAGAGTTCAACACACTGATTCCTTTCCAAAGAAATACTGGACATTATTTACATGATATACCTGTTTGCACTTGTCAAACAATTAAAAATACGGGGAAAATGAAAAAGCATTAATCCTTTCCTCTTTCACTGAGTCACTGTGGCTAAATATAGTAAGTAAAAAACTAAAAACAATAGCTAAACAATCAAAATCTGAGATACACAGGAGACAGGAGGTATACAGTATAGAAAATTATATACACTATAATTTTCATCTTTCAGTGGAAGTAATCAACAAATGCTATCTAAAGATGATACCTCAAAAACATAAATATAACTTTCTGGCGATTTATTTCTATTTATGTATACGTGTGTCACATGTATGGGGGTGCCACAGTGGACAGAACAGGGTAGTGGGTCCAATGGAATTAGAGTTACAGAAAATTGAGAGCCACCTGATAAAGATACTTCACACCCAGAGCTAGAGAAATGGCTCAGAGTTTAAGAGCACTGGCCTCCATTCCAGAGGATCAGGGTTCAAGTCCCAGCACTCACATGGCAGCTCACAAATATCTACAACTCCAGTTTCAGAGGATCTGACACTATCACACCAATGTACATAGAATTAAAAAAATTATTTTAAAAATAAATAAACAAAAAGGCACTTCAAACCCAATTTGAGTCCTCTGGGAGAACAGCAAGTGCTCTTAGTGGCTGAGCCAGCTCTCCAGACCCATAAATGCAACCTTCAGAAGAAGCACAAATTAGCCACCGACAGTAGAGCCCGTGGAGACTGGAGAGGGAAAGCCACACTTTATTTTGCACCTGTACACAACGTGTGCTTTCCTATTACGAGCATGGATTCATGCTGACTCTAGTTTGTTACCCTCAAAGATCAGACAATTCCTTTAAAGTCCACTGCATTTCACCCTCTATGCCTAATAGCCATGGGCTGCTAACTTTGAAAATAGAACACACTTTAAAGCAACCTGTGGGTAACCACCCCTTAGAAGGCTACAGACCCTTTCACTGGGGTTATATGAGATAATCAGAAAACAAAGATATTTACATTACAATGCATAACAATAGAAAAATTAAAGTCGCGAAGTAGCAATGAAAATAATTGTATGGTTGGGGATCACCACATGAGGAACTGTATTAAAGGGCCACAGCATTAGGAAGGATGAGAATCAGTGTTCTCAAGTAAAATATCTCTCAAATTATCAGAAAGTTGTATGGTTTGCTCTTGGAAGGGGAGGGGGGTTGTGGTTCTTTCAATCTTGCAAAGTTTGTTCATAGCTGACCATGAACCAAAACAGCTAAAGCAGTTATTATGGAAACTACCAACTTCTCAAAAAATTCAAAGAAAAAGTACAGAAAAATGTGTTGGGGGGGGGTTGTTTTAAAGTCAAAACCTCTGTTACCCATGCTTTAAGAAAAACAACAACGTCTACTGTAAGTCCTACAGATTAGTCCTGAAGTCAGTCGACCTTACCGAGGCTGAATAATAACAAGCCTAAGGCCTTCCATGGAAGCAGGAAGACGTGTGGACCTCCAGTTCTCTCTGAAATGAAGAGAGCGCGACCTGAAGGTCTGCTATCCTCACTGACCCTCAGGAATGTACAAGCACGCACAGCACTTTGAACCATGTGGTACTTGAAATTTTCAAAAGCAATTTAGTTCTGCCTAGACAAGCAGTTGGGCTTTCTGTGAATCCCTACTCTCCAGTCTCCATGACCACGCTAACCTCGCACCTCACCAGTGCTCCGAAATGATCTCAAGGAAGGGAAGAGCTTTACAAGACATGCTAGAAAATTATTTGACACAGTGATCTCAGAACTGATTAGCTCTGGCAGCCACGTTAGTCTGAACGTTTGGTAATCAAGTGAGTAACGATCACAGGATTTAAAGCTCTGTCTTCTCGCCTTTCGATATCTCGCCCTAACTAAGCGCTTCCGAAATGTGGACCAGCACATTTGCCACTTAATTCTGACCGTATCTAAGGAGCCGGTGCACATCCTTTAAAAAAGGATCGACTTCAGTACTAAGTTTATCTCTTATACTGGCTGGATGACCGTAGTCCAGATTCACTTCAGGAACTCTCCCACTGCGAAGGACAGATATAAAATCTGATTTCAAAAATCGGAGGCTTCAGGCCTGTCGGTAATGGAAAGAGCCAGCTAACTGGAGCAGTCCAAGCTTCCGAGCAGCCGGTGAACAGAAGGTTCCCTCGAAATCCTCAAGCCACCCAGTCCCGACACAGTAGCAAATCTCACGGTCAGCTGATTTGTTCTCCCCTCCGGTTGCACCTACTCTTCTCCGCCGACTCCTAGCGTCCTACACTCATTGGTCCCGGGTGCCACCAACCGCGCCCCTCGCCGCCCCCGGGATCGCTCGAGCCCCGTCGCCAAGACCCTTGCCGCAAACCCGGGCCAGGGCCGCCCACGCCCCGCGCGGCCACTCACCCGCGGTAGTAGGCTTTCACCCGGACCTGGTGGGAATGGTCCCCGCCGCCGCCGCCCGCGACTGTGTGGGACATAGTGCTGCTGTCCCTCTGGGTCGGCATCTCCTCACTCCCCCGCCTCGCCGCCGGAGGCCGAGGGGGCCGGGGCAGTGCCGGACGCCGCGAGGGACTTGGCCGCCCGAGCCTGTCTGGAAGTCGTGGCCGCCCGCCTCACCGACCTGCCCGCC